CTCTCCATCAGTGGCTACACTAAAAAAACCTAAAAATCTGAGACGCTAAATGGAAGCAGACTGTGGATGTTTCAGACTGAATGTTCTCTGTATATGAATGCATAATGAAACGTTGGAGATGTTTTCCCAGTTGGGTTCCTGGAGGGACCAGAAGTCTTCTTCCAAACTCTTCTGCCCCATAGAGCCAGTCAGGGAATATCATTAAGGGTAACTTTATCTCCGCTGGTTGCTGTTCCTTAATTCAAACAGGGTGCTGTGGAATTTCATAACAAGCCCAGTCAGGGGGAATATGGCTGCAGAAGCCACTTAGCCGCTTAGTAACCAGATAGCATAATGGCATAATGGCAGGTCTGCCCCTCCACCGTATGAAACAGCAGCAAAAATGTGAAAAAATATACGCTAATTTGACAAATGTTCCATGCATCTGAAATTTCTGCTGCGTAAGTGTTTTGCATTCCACTTATGGCCCCGGACGAAATCGAGTTTAGTCAAGAAGTGTTTTGCAAAAACACTGGCGGCCTCCAAATGAAGTAATGGAGTCATTTTTTATGACACGAGACAATTTGTTGTACACGAGAAGGAACATTATATTATTAACTTGCATCCTGACAACATTTCACGCCACTGACCTGAGCTGAGCCGCTGCAGGCTTCATGTCTGAGGTTTTACATCCAGCGACGGGCGTGTGGGCGGCTTTAGACCACATCTGGCTGTCAAAGAGCTGCACAGGCTGAAGAATGACAGCAAGTGAACAGAACTAAACTCAGCTCAGGTCAGTTCTATGATCTGGTCTTCTTCTGTTCGTTCTACAATGAGCAGAAACATGTGGAGGAGAGAAGGTGAGGCCTTTAAGCCCAACAACACCAAACCTACCATCAAGCATGGAGGTGGCAGCATCAAGCTCTGGAGCTGAAGAAGGAGGATCACCTCCACGTTCTTCAGGAAAACCTACAACCATCAGCCAGAAAGTTGACCTTGGACACAGCTGATTGTTTTAACAAGACAATGAGCCAGAACGACCAGATTTAAAGTTTCTGACCCTTTTTTTTGGTTGTTTTTTTAACACTGAACATCAGCATCTGTGGCTCGATGGTCGAGCAGGTCCCACGTCGAAGTGTCCTGGAGTTACCACTGAGGTAAAATATCATTGCAGTCATTTACTGTGCAGCACATGTAGCAGAGAGGGCGATGGTGCGGAGTCAAGCAGTGTCATTGTGGCAACTTTTAAACTAGTTTTTAAATCAGAAAAGTTAATAAAGTCTGACCCTCATCATTGTAACTCCTCAACATAACTAACAGCACATATATACAACCTTATAGTGAAGCTATATAAAACGTCTGACCTCAAAATTACACTTATTTTTTGTTTATTTT